TCCCAGGTTCAAGGGATTCTTCTGCTTCAGCTTCCCAAGTAGCTGGGACTACAGGCACACACCACCACGCCCAGCTAATTTTTGTATTTTTAGTAGAGAGGGGTGTCACCATAATTGGCCAGGCTGGTCTCAAACTCCTGACCTTGTGATCCACCCACCTCGGCCTCCCAAAGTATTGGGATTACAGACATGAGCCATCATGCCTGGCCTCTACTCTCTCTTTCTCTAATCTCTACTCCCACAATGATTATTTTTATATTTACATTACCCTAGTCCTCTCCTCTGCATCCTGCACTCAGATCCAACTATCTGCTGACAGCTACTCTCTGGTGTCTCAGACACTGCATTTCTGACCCATCTGAGCCTATTAATTGTCTTAATTCTTCTCTCTCTGTATCCAATTCATCAGCAAGTCTGATCGATTCCACCTCTAAAATACATTCCAAATCTGCCCATCCTTTCTCCTTGTCACCCATGCCACCACATTACTCCTAATTGCAACATTTCTCTCTTGTCCTCCTCTGATCCATTCTAGACCTGGCAGCCAGAGGGACCATCTTAAAATGTAGACTAAATCATGCTACTTCCCTGTTTAAACTTTCCAATGTTTTACCAGACCCCATGCTACGCTCTGCCTTCCTCTTTTACTTCGTACCCACCACACTCCTGCTTACTGCTCTCTGTCGAGACTGGCTTTTCCACATCCTCAGAGAAGCCAAATTCTCTCCTGACTCGGGGCACCCCTCCCCCTACAAGTCATTGCTCCTGCCTGGCCCTCACGTTTCAGATGTCTTCTTCTCGTCCTTCAGATTGGCTTAAATATCTCCTGAGGAATGCATTCCCTGGCCACTGTTTTTGAAGTTTGTTCTCTCTCCATCCCATTAGTCTCTGTCTTTTTGCCTAGTTTATTTTCTTCTTAGTATTAACCACATTCTAATTTATCTGTTTATATGTTTGGTTGCATCTTTGTCAGTCTCTCACTAGAATGCAAGCCCATAAAGCAAGGATTATGCCCTATGGCTCTCTTGACATCTCTATGGTCTCAAGCCTAGCACAGTGCCTGCCATAAAGTAAGTATTCAATGAATATTTGAGCACCTTATCATGCTTTCCATGTGCCAGGGACTATGCTTAGTTTCATAAAAATAAGACTGCATTAAGTCTGTATAACAATTCTGGAAAGTAGGTATTTACTATCATTCCCATTTACAAATGAGGAAACGGAGGCATAAAAAGGGTAGGTACCCTATCAAGAGTCACATGTTTAGGAGGTGAAAGAGGGAAGATGCAAATTCAGGCAATCTGATGCCTAAACCAGCACTTTTAACCACTATGCAATACCTATTCCCACTATTCCCATATTCACTTACATAGATGAATTAATAACTACATAAATAAGGCTGGGCACGGTGGCTCACACCTGTAATCCCAGCACTTTGGGAGGCCGAGGCAGGTGGATCACGAGGTCAGGAGTTTGAGACAAGCCTGACCAACACGGTGAAACCCTGTTTCTACTAAAAATATTTAAAAATTAGCTGAGTGTGGTAATGCATGCATGTAATCCCAGCTACTCAGGATGCTGAGGCAGGAGAATCATTTGAACCTGGGAGGTGGAGAGGTTGCAGTGAGCTGAGATCACACCACTACCTGGGCAACAGAGCAAGACTCTGTCTCCAAAAAAAAA